GTGTTTGATTTTTAGGAGCTCCCAGTTATCTAGTTTCTCTTCTGGTTTTTGTGCATTTTTAGTAATGTTTTGTATTCTGTTCATGCCATGTATTAGGGCTCCTAGCATTGTCCCTATTTTTTCTTTCATGATCTTTGTTGTTTTAGATTTTATATTTATGTCTTTGATCCATTTTGAGTTAGTTTTTGTGCATGGTGTGAGGCATGGGCCTTGTTTCTGTTTTTTGCAGATGGTTATCCAGTTATGCCAGCACCATTCATTAAAGAGACTGTCTTTTCCCCAAATAATGGACTTTGAGCCTTCGTCAAATATCAGCTGCTTATAGGTAGATGAATTTACGTCTTGATTCTCAATTCTGTTCCATTGGTCTGTGTATCTGTTGTTGTAGCAGTACCAGGCTGTTTTGACTACCGTGGCAGTATAATAGGTTCTAAAATCAGATAATATGAGGCCTCCCACTTTGTTGTTCTTCTTCAGTAATGCTTTACTTATCTGGGGCCCCTCCCCTTTCCGTATGAAGTTGGTGATTTGTTTCTCCATCTCCTTAAAAAATGCCATTGGAATTTGGGTAGGGATTGCATTGTATCTGTAGATCGCTGTGGGTAAAATTGACATTTTCACAATGTTGAGTCTTCTATCCATGAGCAAGGTATATTTTTCCACTTACGTAGGTCTCTTTTGGTTTCTTGCAGTAGTGTCTTGTAGTTTTCTTTGTATAGGTCTTTTACGTCTCTGGTTAGATTTATTCCAAAGTATTTTATCTTTTTGGGGGCTATTGTAAATGGTATTGATTTGATGATTTCCTCTTTGAAGTTCTCTTTGTTGGTATAGAGGAATCCAACTGATTTTGTATGTTTATCTTGTTTCCTGATACTTGCTGAGATCTTCTATTAGTTCCAGTAGTTACCTTGTGGATTCTTTGGGGTTTTCTGTGTATAAGATCGTATCATCTGCAAAGAGAGATACTTTGACTTCTTCCCTACCAATCTGGATGCCCTTTATTTCTTTTTAAAGCCTAATTGCTGTGGCTAGGACCTCCAGCACAATGTTGAATAAGACTGGTGATAAAGCGCATCCTTATCTGGTTCCTATTCTCAAGGGGAATGCTTTCAGACTTTGTCCATTTAGGATGATGCTGGCTTAACAGAATATATTTTGAAAATATTTCAAGAGTTTGTATCTTCTTGAAAGGATAGTTCTGTTCAATCTAAGACAATTCATATAAATTGATAGGCAGTGATAGTATCCATAGCTTACCCAAAAGACAGTTCTCTTTAAGGACACTGAACACGTTTTTTTTTTTTAATCACAGTGACCTCAGGTTATGGGATTATAGCCTAACTATTTCATGTTAAAAAGTATTTGCACATCTGTCAGAATAGATTAATGCAACTGATACTTTAATTTTCACATTAAGGCAGTCAGATGAGACTTAAGTTTTTCCTTGATACTCAAACTACTATTTTTATCAAGACATGGTTTTGTTTTGCTAGCAATTTTTCCATCTTACTGATCTGTCCTTTTTAATATTGATGGTCAAGTCACTGGCAATGTTAACTTTTCAAATGATTTTGCAGTAAATAATCACTAGTAAAGTGCCCCAACTTATTTGAATAAAGATTTGCCTCTGGTTTTAGCAGTTGCCATTAATATGTGTGTACTTGGATAAATTTAGAAAATGAATTGCTAAGAAGGAAGTAGAAATTACAAATTGAGAAGTGTATTTTAAAAGACTATGTGGTAATTAGAGATAATTGATGGATGTTCATTAACAACAAATTAGGGTGTTACCCGGAGGAAGATATATTTTGTTTTCTGAGTTTTCCCTGCACAGAAAAATGTTAATTAAAATGTTTTCATACTTGATTTAAATAAAAGGTAAGAGGTTTCACAGAGTATTACCATTGTACTGTTAATGGTGTGAAAAAGCAAGTGGCTAAGGGGGTTATTAAAAGTTACATGCACTAATAAGCAAAGTCCTTTTAGTCACAAGAATAATTTTTAAGCACACTAATTTAATTGGCTTAGTTAAAAACTTTATTTTGAAATATGATGGCTGAGACAACACACCACAGACTTTATAATACTCTAGTATATTGAACTTTTTGAAGAAATTTTCCAGGATATACAAATCTTAAAAAAACTAATTGTGATAGTTGAATAGTAAAGTTATCTTGTGAAATGAAATTTCGTTTTATAGAACTTTCCATTAGGAGCTGTCTGTTGTTGTTGTTAGTTGTCATTGAGTCGATTCTGACTCTGGCAACCCTGTCTGTACAGAGTAGAACTGCTCTATAGGGTTTTCAAGGCTATTACCTTTTGGAGGCAGATCCCCAGACCCGTCTTCAGGTACCTCTGGGTGGGTTTGAACTGCCAACCTTTTGGCTAATAGTTGAGTGCTTAACCGTTTGTACCACCCAGGACTTCCTACTTACTTGCATATCAAGATTTAATTCCTGATAGATATGATATAATAAATGCATGTCTAAAAGTAGATTTGTTTGATAAATAAGACTAGGATAGTTGTTAACAAAAACCTTTCAACTTAAATTCTCACCTCTACTGTATATAAAAAAACTTCCAGATTGATATAAGATTTAAAACTTTATATTTAGCAACCCTTAAGATTTAAAACTTTATATTTAGCAACCCTTAAAACTACAAGATCAATTAACTGAGTATTTATTAGCTATGTGGGAGCATTTTAAACTTGATGAAAAGGTAAGAAAATCCAGAAGAGAAGATCAATATATTTGAATTCATAAAAATGATGAAAGTATACCATTAGCAAACGTAAGGTGAACAGCAATTTAGATAGAATCTTTCATTAAAGAAGACAAAGCAATTTCATACTTAATATATAAAGAACTAATGCAAACAAGTAAGTGAAGACATGGATAATCTATTCACGAAATCAAAACTGAAAATGACTAGCAAATACTTGAATACATGTTTAACTGTAAGTAAATGTACTGTATCAATTTAGCCAAAATCTTATTCAGAACCGTGTTCCCAGCCTTTCTTTCACTCAACGATTCCATATCTGAAAATCTAGCCACAAGGGGGGGAAAATTCCACAATTTTTTTAAATAGTATTATCTGCAATAATAGCAATAGCAAACTTCTTGATAATCGTAATTAGGAGTAAATTCACCTTGGAAAACTCAGGCCTTATAATTACTGGCACAGAAGCCATTAGTTGCCATTAATTGATGTTACTGGATATTTTTTCCTCTCTATTTCCTCTCTACACCCCTAGCCCATTTCTTCCATAGAAACAAATTTTTAATATGATAAACATATTTCCCACCCCTTACTTATATGCTGTTATTTACATATATACCACACCTTCTTATTACAGATGACCTTAATTAGCTAATATATATTTACATTAATATTTTTTATGTTCAGACTGCTTTCATCAAGAGAAGCCATAGTAATACCTTAACTTTCATAGAATATAGTTCAGGTACATGTATGCTAAGTGGACTTTTGTGTGTTGTCATGCAATCCTAACTACCGTCTAGTTGCTGTTTCTATGAAGTGATGTGTTCTAAATTTATAATTACAGTAGCTATAATTTCCAGTGAGTTTACTGTATGCCAATTACCGGACTATATCCTTTATAGGCGTTTTCTCACTTAATCTTCACAGCAGCCCTTCTCTTTGTCTTTTAATATTCATAATAACTCTCTGTAAGACAGTTGGTATTTTTATTATCACTATGTACAACAAAGGAGCCCTGGTGGCTCAATGGTTAAGCACTCAGCTGCTAACCTAAAGGTTGACAGTTTGAACCCACCAGCCATTCCCAGGGAGAAAAGACCTGGTTATCTGCTCCCATAAAGATTTTAGTAGAAATCCTATGAGGCAGTTCTACTGTGTCCTGTGGGGTCGCTGTGAGTCCAAATTGACTTGATGGCACACAACAACAGCATGTGCAAACAAGATAATGAGGTTCAGAGAAAAATAACATGAGGTCACAAACTAGTAAACAGCAAGGCCAGTTTGCATCCAGGTGTCTATGACCCCAACCCCTTGCTCTCAGTTATAAATGTCATCTGCCTGCCAGTTTAAACCAGAGACTTACTTTTGAGTTTTAGGGTTGTAGGGGCTGGTCGTATTATAATATCTATATAAAATCTATTGTAGTGTATCTAAGCATAAATAATAAATATATGTGGTTTTGGTATTTAGTTTTTAAATTAGAGTACAATGATGAAATTTTTGTTTCTGTCAGACAACTTTCCTAATTGGATGTGTTCAAACAATTTAAAAAAAAAAAATTTGAATGTTTTTCTGGGTGGAGAATATATCATTGTTCCAGGGCCAAATGTGAATTCTCTTTTTTTATTGACTGCTTTCATGAATTGTTAGTGATTATTTAATTTTCATTAAAATATTTATTTGGTATGGTCCAGCTTATTACCATACAGGTTCACAGTCTGTTTTTCATAATTGTGAAATCCAAAAAGCACTGAAAACCATAACTGACTTAATGGTAAAACTTGGTCCAAACTAACATTAGGATATTTATAGTCTGTATTTATTTATCTGACAGTCTCACACTGTATGAAATGCCATGCATTTCACAAATATGAATATATTTGAATACAGGGATCTGCCCCAGACAGCAGTGGTCATATAATGGAGTTACATAGCATATGGGATATGACTGTATTGTATTTTTAAAATAAAAAATATGAATTCTGATACGTATTTGGCCTCAAGTGTTTTGAATAAAGAATTACAGACCTGTGTGTATATTTATGCACGTATATGTGTATACATATACACACATAGAAATACACATAAATATCCAAAATTGTATATTTAAATTTATAACTGTAAGTGAAATAGTCTTCATTAACTAAAAACTTAATATTTCTTGTGTGAAACTTTGGAGAAACTAAACAATTCTAAATCTAATCATTAACACTCAGGAGTGTAAGAAAACTTATAAGATTTGTCTAATTGCAATTTTTTTATTTTCCTTACAGAGTAGTAAGCATGACAAAATGTTTTCTCTCAGTTCCATGAAGTTTTATCTTGGAGTGAAAAAGAAAATGAAGCCCCCAACAAGGTAAACTTTGAAAGGGAAGGATTATTGAAAAGAAGAAATTATGGGGAACTATATCTGAGGATTTAGGGATCAGAGGCATGGGTCTTTCTTACAAATTAAGTAGTAGACAAATTATTTAAGTTTCTTTTTCTATGGCAGGGACCCTATCACAGAGCAAGATAACTTGTGTGAGTCGGTAAGGAGAGGTGGTGTTCCCACTGAGACTCAGATCAAGCCTTTGGGTAGTTGCAGCCTCCCCTGCATAAGGCCAAGAAATCCCCAGGAGGCCTTGCCTGCTGTGAAGCACCTGGACTCATCTGCAGCCCATTCCTTGATCAGTCATAGCCTGGGGGACAGATGGCATGTTTCAGGCAACTCTGCACTCTTGGCTTCTAGAACATTCTGGTTCTAGCTCTGTAATTTGCCCATTGCCATTGCGGACACGCTCAATTCAAGCAGCCACAGTTGGTACTGAATAGAGAGTATATAGATGGTAGAGAGAAGTGGACCCCTCTTCTACGTTAATGTGCCTCTTAAAATTTGATTGACCTTCAACATTCGGTTTATCCCACACCTTCTTATTACAGATGACCTTGATTAGCTAATATAAGTTTGCACTAATATTTTTCCTAATACCATGAAACATTTTAATGAACCGTATGTACTTCCTTTTCCAATTATATTACTGAAAACTTCCTCATTTTTGCCTCCATACTTAATTTCTAAGCCAAGTACATATACCTGTGTTGCAATTAGCACATTCTTTAATTGACTCCAGTATCAGTAGGTCAATATGTGTATTACCTTATTTTGGCCACTTTCCCAGGTATTCTTATTCAGTCAAGATAATCTTCTCAAAGGCCTCCCCCTCTATCCCATGTCATCATGCCTTGCTTCTGACTCCCTTCACCCTGTTTAAATTTGTAGCCAAATTCCTCAACATTTAGTATTCATCTATAGACAAGTTATACCCAGTGAATTATCACTTGTGGAAATCTGTACTAGTATGCATTCCTACCATTAACTGTTGCTTCCTTAACATCTAATTTTGTTTTCAGTCTTGTAAAGTTTATTGTTTTTAATGCGTGTGTGTTGTGTTTTGTTTTGTTTTCCATGTGATACAGTTGGGGGTTGACAGCATATTCCGAAAAACATCAGTGGTAAGTTAACACCTCACAGCAACTTTTGAATTTGATGTATTGGTGACAATCTCTGTAAAAGAATAACTTTATTATTTGGCACATAGAACTACAGATAAGAAATGTTTCACCTAAGTGAAGTTGAAATCTTGCCCAAATACTTTGAGTCTAAGAACAGGAAAATAGATTTCTATTTGGGTTCAGGTGTCTTCCAGCCCTGTGTATTCTATTTGCCAATGCCTCTTAAGAGAAATATTTTTAATTTCTTCCATATTTATCATATGAGTGTGTTGTTGTTAAGTGCCAGTGAATCTATTCCAACTCATAGCAACCCTGTAGGACAAAGTAGAACTGCCCCATATGGTTTCCAAGGAGCAACTGATGGATTCGAACTGCTGATATTTTGGTTAGCAGCTGAGCTCTTAACCACTGTGCCACCAGGGCTCCGTAAGAGTGTAGAACCCCAGGTTTAATGGGATAAGAAGTAGCCACATTTTATTTATTTATTTCTTATTGTTGTAGTTTAAATGAAGTTTACATTTCAAGTTAGTCTCCCATACAAAAATTTAGACATACATTGTTTTATGTGACAGCTCACTCCTCCTTTCCACCCCTGATTCCCCATGTCCATTCAACCAACTCCTAACCCTCTCTGCCTTCCCATCTCACATCCAGACAGAAGCTGCCCGTTTAGTCTCTTGTATCTACTTGAGCTAAGAGACACACTCCTTACGAATATCACTTTATGTCCCACAGTCCAGTCCAATCTCTGTCTGAAGAGTTGGCCTCAGAAATTGTTTTATTTCTGGGCTGATAGAGAATCCAGGGGCCATGCTCGCCACGGTTCTTCCAGTCTCAGTCAGACCATTAAGTCTGGTCTTCTTACTAGAGTTTGAGTTCTGCACCCCACCTTTCTCCTGCTCCATCAGGGACTCTCTGTTGTGTTCCCTGTCACGGTGGTCATTGGTGGTAGACATTTTATTTTTTTAAAAAAAGGATAAGAGCTACCTAAAACTCAGTTACAAATAACTTCATATTATGGTTTCAAACCTATTCTTTCCATACATGTACTTTTTTCCATTAGTGTTGCCACTTGTCCACCAATTTCCCTGGAGGTTGTACTAGAATTCTCTTTCTCCCTCATCTACCTGAGTCTAATTAGTCAGTAAGTCACATCAATTCTGCATCCTAATTGTCTCTCTGATCCACACCTTTATCCCCAGGGCCATGCCTTCATTCACAGACCAGTCTTCATCTGCCTGCGTTATTCCAGGAGTTACCAAGTGCTCTTCATGTCTCTGCCTTTATGTTTTCCAGTACATTCTCCACCCAGTCAACAAAAAGATATTTCTGAGCTGTATCATGTTTCTCTCCTGCTTTAAAACTTTTGTGAAGCCTCATCACCTACAGAAGAGTGCCAAAGATTCTTGGCATAAAATGCAAGGCCCCTTAATATGTGGCTCCATCAGCTTCATCTATGACTTTCCCTTTTTATTTAATGATAAAACAATAAACTTTACTTCATTATACATTTCTCACTGCTTTCATAGCAACATGCTTTATGTATATGGTCACTTTACCAGGGCCCCTTCCCTCTCTTCTGTAGACACCCCTGTGGTTCTTCTTTCAAAGCATACTTCAAATATGCCAAGAGTCTTACCAGATAGCTCTCACCTTTAATCATTGTTTGCTGCTTCTTTGCACCTACAATATTTCACATATGTGGATTCCTAACTAAAATGTTTGTAGGGAAAACAGTTTTCTTGCACCTGGCAATGGGAAGGGGAAATATCTCCATGAGAAGCCAATGAAGGAAGCAAAATTTCCGAGAAATTTCATTTTTTACTTTTTTTAAATGAATTAATTTTATGGGAATATGAAAAATACCATTAGATTGAAATGTCCATTATGTAATTCTAACATCAGTTAGAAAAGTTTCCCCCTAGGAAACAACTCCCACCTCATTCCCAAGTCTGCTGTTACTATGTTTGTGCTCAACTTCACTTTCTATTTTTCTCAATATATTATAAAGTGTTTATTTACATGCCTGGCTCCTGTAATAGATGACCAGAACCTTGAGGGCTTGATCTCTGTTTTATTTAAGTTTTCATTTAAAGGGTACTGAATCAGTGTTGTTGGAAAAGCAATGATTTTTTTCATTTATTTTTTTCATAAGTCTTGTGGGTATTAGTGTTTATGACCATAATGATGGAGACTATGTCTGAGCCTTTTTTAAAAATCTGCTGTTAAGAGAATATGCATGCATTTTTCTACTTAGGCTCAGAGTTTCTAGGGAGAAAAAAAATGTTTTCCCATCATATACCTGAAAAAGCACAATGACATTGACCTTTCTACCTTTCCAAAAATATTGCTCATCATTTTTTCAACAGTTGCCAAAGCCTTTAGCTGTATTTTTTAAACTAACATCACATCATCATCATTATTTTAATGTAGTACACTTTAACAGAAGGCTGAAACAACTTGCTCTCAAATATCCCACTTTTGATTGCATTAACTCATTAATCAGGAGAAACTCAAAGAAGTTTCTGATCCTGAATCACCAAACAAGTACACCTGAGACTGGTCGATTGTCTTTTTCAATTATGCATTTTTACAAACCTTGTTTTGCAGGCATCTGTGTTGTGATAGCTTACAAACTCAGATGGAGTGGATGGCCAGTGTTTTTATTGCCCAGGTATGATATATATATTTCTACTATTATGTATATATAGATATGTATATGTGTATGTATATATATGTATATTTCAACTTTGTTTATTGGAAATCTTACTGTGATAGTGATTTTCAAATAATTTTTATAGGAGTTTTATGTGTATATATCTGGCATAAACTTTTATTTTCTTATTCATATTTTTAAAACATATATGAGAATTGAAATGTATCCATTACCTTTTGAAAGAATAAGGTAAACCTCTCTGTAGAGGCTTGTTTTGCCAGCACAAGCCATTTCTAGCTTAGGAGAGGTAGATTAGTTTGTGATGTAGGGTAGGAAAAAGGGACCTGTCTAAGCTGCTATCTTCCCGGGATCCCCAGGGAATCTTAGTTTAGAGAAGTGTTCTTTTTTCCTTCTTGTTCTCCCTATGACTTCCGGCTCTAACTGCCCCCTTTTCCAGAAACAAGAAAGGGAACCTACATTTCTTTAATACTTATTGTGTGCTAGATACTTTGTGTCAACTGGTGTATTCCTTGTAATAATCCACACGTGAAGTCTAAGCTGTTTCACTTTACAGATGAGGAAGTAAAGATTAATAAAATTTCCATCATTTGGTCAGGAACATACATTTAGTTCGTTGTTCAAACCCAGAGGCCAACACTTATACTTAGTTCTCCATTTAGTCTCCTCCCTAGAGGAGGACTCAGTCTTTAGGGGAAAGGTTAAATAGTTCCATTAATAGGATTGGTTTCTTGCCCAACGTTGTCTGGCTGAATTCCCAGCAATGCTTCCCTTGAGAACATTGAAATTGACTGGTAACGATTAAGTTGCCACTCTTTATTACTGAAGATGTACTTTCCTGTTTCTCTTACAAGTGTGAAGTTAACTCACCCCAAGATCTGGTCCTAAGTTGTTTTGAAAACCATTTTCTCTGTTCATTTAATTTATTAAACTTTCAAGTGGTTAATAAACACTATTTTTCTCAGTCCGACTCTACGAATACTTCCGGGAATAACATTTGCTGAAAAAGACTGGCTGCTAAATTTTTGGAGACTTTTCTTCTTTTCATGACTTTTTAAAATTCAGATATTTAAGCACTACTTAGAAAAACCAGATTAGACATATTTTAGTAAAATTCACAAGTCGAAAGCTGTTGCAATGTCTGTTTATAGTACAGCTAAATAGTAGTTTTTGTAGACTCCGTAGCTGAAAGCCATAGTGTAAGTAGCCATGGAGCAGGACCAGGCTATTTTTCCCTGCTGCGCGTATCCTTTCTTGGCTGGCTCCAGGGACATAACCCAATTACTTTTCCTCTGCCCAGTCTACTTCTTAGGATTATTCATCTTCTCCCTTTGAACACAAAGGCCCTGTAGAATTTAATGAGCTATTAAAATATAAATACACACACAGAGAGACAATATATACACACACAAAAATAATCAAGAGCAACTGCCCCTGCCTTGTAATTGCTAATGTCTTTGCTGCAGTGACCACTGAATACCCCTCTGTGACCCAGGCTCTACAATGAGCTCTTCCTAGTGCCTGGTATGCTTTCCTAATATCCATTCCCATCCTCACTCCTGCCTCAAAAGTCCTCTAGATTTTAGCTTAAATATCACATTCTCAGAGAAACTTTCCATGACCTTCGGATCGCTTAGACCTTCAGAGTGTAGATCTGAAGGCAGGGGATAGATCCTTTAAGAGATAAGGAAGGCAGAGAAGTTACCATGTAGTCCATGTTTAGGAGTTTGAATTTTATTCTAAGTGTCATAGGAAACAATGGAAGGATATAATCTGATTTATACTTATTGAAAGGAAAAGAATTTTGGTTACTTTGTTGAGGCTGCGCTATAGGGGATCACAGGTGAAAGAAAAAAGAACGTCTCTCTGAAGGAAGATGGCAGCTCTGACTAGGGTGGTAGCAATAGAGATGGTATGGCGTGTTCAGATTCTAGAATATTTGGAAGGTAGAACCAATAAGGCTTGCTGATTGATTGGCTGTAGCAGGTTAGAGAAAGGGCAGAAATCAAGGAAGAATTCTAGTTTTTTGACCCTGGGCAGTGGCAAATCAAATTGTATTATCTGAGATGCAGAAAAAAATTGAGAGTTCTGTTTTGGCCATATGAAGTTTGAGATACCTATTGGCTATGCTGAGTAATGGGTTGGATGTATGGATCTAAAGCTTAAATAAAAGCTTAGGGCTGAAATGTAAATATGAGAGGGTCAGCATTTAAATTGTATTTAAAGCCATAGGATTGGAAGAGATGACCTAGAGTATGTATATGTTTGTGTTATCTATATATTTTTTTATCTATGTATATTTATATATATGTGTGTGTGTGTGTGTGTGTGTATATATATATATATATAGACAGAGGATAAAGCCTTGGGACATTCCAAACTTTAAATGGTAAAACAGAGAAGGAGGAAAAAAAAAAACAGTAAAAGAGAAAGGGTGAGGAAGCCTGAGAACTAGGTGATGAGGTGATGAGTGAAGAAAATTATTTTCAAGAATTTTGCTGCGAAGAATAGATAAATTAGGTTGTGGCTAGATGGAAACAAGAAGTCAAGGGAGGTTTGAGGGGTTTTGATTTATTTGTATTTATAATGGGAGAGTGTATAGTTTACATGTATACTGGTGGAGACAATCCTGTAGGTGGTGAAAAAAAAAAACTGATAGAGGGGAAGAGCAATTATTGCACCAGCAGAGGCCCTGAGCAGACCTGCAGCAATCTGAAACAGTTGTATGTCATTGATTAGAACAAATACTGATTGCAAGAGCTGAGAATCTCACTTATATGGCTACAAATGCAGGAAGATTTCTGTGCTTTGTCATGAAAAATTAAAGTTCTTGAATGATGACTAATAATATTTTAATTAAGCCATTGAGGTCCTTGCATGTGTGGTGGGGAAGGATATTAGAAATGTAAAGGCAGAGGAAAGGAGGAGAAATAATCTTCAGAGAGTGAGAAAGCCACTGTCCTATAGTAGAACTTTGGGGTAGTACTGAGTGTTCACTTGAAATTTAAGGTCAGATTTAAAGTGAGATGAATCCTTGAAGTAATGTCCCCACCCCCATCTCTTTGGCAGGTAGCACCCTTAGAGTATAGAATCGGATTTAACTGAGTTTAGGACTTTGTCAGGCAAGTATGATGGAGAGTTACTTAATTCCTTCCCAGCCAGTTTTCTTCCAGCTTTACATGCTGGAAACATCCAGTTGAATAGCTAAGTCATTTATACCAAGTTTGCAACTATGACCTAAAATAATAATATGAATCTTGAAACTCTTTCTCTGGTTGAAATGTTGCATAATCTACCATTGTAGATTTGCTGAACCGAAGTAAACACTTCACTAAAGTTCAAGAGTAGATACGGTGCACATACCCTAAATCTTAAAATCTTAGGACCTTTGATGTAGGATTATTGAGGGTTAAATGATATAATACCGGTAAACTGCTAAGCACAAACCCTGGCAATATGTCCTTCAATATAAGTTAGCTATTATTATGTAATGGGTACCTAGTAAATAGTTGTTGGAATTAGTCCTTTGTTGTAAAACATCACAGTGAAATACTAATTGTGGCATGAAAAGATCAAGAATCTATTAATATATCTGAAGAAGAACTGAGGAAAATAAAAGAGAAGGCATTTAGCTGCATAGTTTACCAAATCGTTTTCATTTCATTGGAATGTCCTTGAACTTACTTTATGGGTGGTATTTTGTATTTCTTTCATTGATTGCTGTCTGAAAATTAATTTTCTTTCCCAGCTTCTGAAAAGTTAATCTACCCTGAGGAGTAGAAAAATTCTTTAAAGATTTTTCTTCTATATGCATATCTCAAGGATTTATCACTCAAGTTTATATTTTTACCTCTGGACATTTATCCCCGTTGCAGAATTAACTTTTCTCCAGTAATATCTATACTTGCTCCGTGGGCCAGAATATGTAGTCAATATTTAGAGAATAAATGTGCCACACTCTCTATTGTGCAATGATTTTCCATATAAATGTCTGCATGAAAGGTAACATTTCTTTGGAATTCAATTAGATGAAAAAGTAACACTTTTCAAAAGGTTATAAAGTAAGGCTGGTTCTTCTGATAGCCATGCCTCAGGCTGATTTTTGATATGTAAGATCAAATTATTTTTGCACTGAAATCATCTTTGGTGGGTAGAGAAAATGAATATATAGCTGCTTTGATTATAGGGCCTAGAAATGTAGACAAGTATGTTTTTTTCTCCCACGGTGAGATTTGCCAGTTTCTTCAAGTGTCTTTCCCCGTTTGGTTTATATAGAAGGCCTGCATTTGAAACTTAGAAATTGAACTGAGACCTAAAAGCTCAGTTCACTTAGCAGTTTCACACCCTGGAGCAATGCTGCCACAGAGTCAACATCATAATCGCAAATGGCATTCTCATGGAAAGTAGATAATTTGATGTGGATATATGAAGAAGGATCCCAGTGACTATATAACGTGGTGTACGGCGTAATAAAATCACATACCAACAGCAGAAAACTTGTGTTTCCACAGCATGAAAATGATATATGGCCACCAGCTGGAGAGGAAAGAAAACGCTCCATAACCAAAAATCCCAAAATTGGAGGTTTGCCTTTGATTCCCATCCAGCAGGAGACAAATACAACACTAGCCCGGAGAAATATTGAGGTAGGTTAGGAATTTATTTGTTGTATAATTGCAGAAAATGAATTAAATTATAGCATTTGTTTTCCTATGTATTGATGTGATTTGGTACATTAATTACCTCGTTGGCTTTCAAAAGCTCAATAATAATCACTTTGAAACACATAGTAATAATCACATACATCATGAAACATTAGGAATAATCACATACATCTCTTTCAATTTTTGTGGTTTTTTTTTTAAATGTAAATGTTTTATTTTAATAAAGTCATCGGTCACCCAATTAAATATATAAAACATCACTTATTTTCTTATATCTAAAGTAACCAAGCAGTTTTAAATACATAAACAGAAATTCTGGTGGTAAAATCACAGACTCAAATTAGTCTTACAAATTTACTTATAACACCCTTAGAGTGAGCTTGTGGCAAGGTTTGTCTGGAGCCATGGCAACTAGACTTGCTAGTAACGCAATCAAATTCCAATGGTTTGGTAAATTATGGGGTGTCTCAGTTAATTTAAGGATCTACAAGGTGACCCCTGACAATCAATAAAGAAAATTCGGTATTTTTCATGAAGACTGCTATTTGTTTTTCTTTTCACCTTAAGGGGCACGGAGAACATAAGTAACATCAATCTTGCCGTGATGCTCTGTCTCTTCAGGGAAGGATGTAGGCTCTTAACTCTTAGAACTCACTAGACACGTTGGGACTAATGCATGTTTCATGCCTTAACTGAGACCCTCAACAGAAAAAAGTATTTTAAAAGTGGTGTTATATCTTCTTTGAGCCTAGGTTTGGAGGTAGGCTCTTTGAATCTCTTGCTCTCCAAACAGAAATAACTTTTGAAAGACAAAAGCCATTTTAATCTAGTCATCAGGTGTTTTGGGGGGGGGATGTTTTTTCACGTTTATCTTTTCTTGGACATTTATCTTACTGTAATAGTTTCTTCTCTAAAAGACAAACTGTTAGAAAATAGTGATTTATTTCTGTTGTTGCCCTAACTGGTCCTTCTGCGTTATTATAATCAAAGGAAAAGTAGGACTCCAAGAAGTCATGACCTTGTCACCCCTGCCGTTCTACACATATAGGTTTTCATGGTAATAAACTCTTCTGTAGAGCTGTGGGAACTTTAGCTAATCTTGAATCATAAAATTCTATGAATTACATTTCCCAGGAACCCAGGTCATGGGATACAGTTTGAACAAATGAAGCTAAATCATAGGTTGTAGATGTGCCCTGTAGTGACCCAAAGCAGGAGATAAATTATTAGAATCAAAATATGTTAACCAGTATCAAGTATAGAATTGGAATGTTGATTGAATATACAATACTTTGTTACCTAATCCCAAATCCAGAAGTCCAGAGATAATTTTTCTTTAACATGAAGGTCAGAAAACTGATGAACTATGAACTAATTGTTAAAAGCCCTTAGAACAATCCCATGTAATATTAATTACTGAAAATTTATGAGTAGTTGAAAATAAACTTTTTGGTTTTTAGTTTTTCTTTTCTTTTTCATAAATTTAGTAAATGTTGTGAATTAATCATTTGGCAAATTTGGGAAAGAAATTTTACGATGCCCAAATGTTAACAAACATTGAAACTTAACTTTAAATAGCACTAAAGCAAAATAAATATAAAAGCACTAATGCAAAATAGGAGCCCTGGTGGCCCAGTGGTTAAGAGTTCAGCTGCTAACCAAAAGGTCAGCAGTTCAAATCCACCAGCTGCTCCTTGGAAACCATATGAGGCAGTTCTACTCTGTTCTATAGGGTCGCTATGAGTTGGAATCAACTCAACAGCAGCGGGTAATACAAAATATATAGAATTATATTTGATTCATGGAAATATTCAAGAAAAAGAAGTATAGAATAACCACTTCTGAACTTATGATTTAAAAATGGAAAATAAAATATTACTAATAGAATGTATTCATAAGAAAAAATATGATCCTATCACTGGATATATTCATGAAGAATTGTCTTTCAAACAATTTTTTGGCAGATTGGTAAATTTGGCAATTTGACCATTTAGTGTCCTCCATTCCGTGACCTGTCTTGCTTTTGTGAGGTTCTGTGGGAAGTCATGAGGATACTTCATTCAGGCAGGGAATGCTTCCTAGAGGAAGTGATTCTGAAATGAATTGGCTAAATTAGTAGTGAACTAGTTGAAGAAACCAGGGAAAGTAAGTTGTTGGCAAAGGAGATCGCACATGAAGAAGCAAGCATAGTACTTCAGAATGCACAAGCTGGAGTGGTACTACCTGTGGTCTTCCTACTTACTCCCTGTAAAGCCTTGGATACATTACTTACCTTCAGGTACTCAGATTCCTTATCTGTAAGCAAGAAGGGATAATAAAATCCCTACTCAAAGGGTTGTTATGAGGATTAGATTATATCATACATGTGATTTGTTAGAATAATGTCTGGTACATAGTTAGAATTTATTGAGACAGAAATAAAGAACTTGGAAGTAACTAGTGGTTTTCAAAATGGGCATTCATTTTAGGAACTCCTAAAGGAGTTTTATCTTTAAAACAAATAAAAATAATTAACAAAGAAGCATGATATGGTTGAAGCAGAAGATGGTGACCTAGAATCCCTCCCATTGGGACCCCTCTCTCCTCCTAGCCATCATGGAGCACAGTGTGATGTGAAAAGTAGCACATTGGTTTCAGATAGATCAACCTGGGTCCCCTTCCAAACTCTCCTACTTATGTGACCTTGGGCAAACTGTTATTTCTCCAACTTTCTATTTCTGCATTTTAAAATATAGATAGTATAATTTATACTGTAAATAATTACGTAAAATTTAAGCAATTAGTTTGAGGATTAAATTAAGTGATATGGTTATATTTGTCTAGCATGGAGATTATCAGTGTATCCAGTGAGTTTAGCAGTAGAAATCATTTGAAGAGAGCTTCTTTTGTAATTGTACATATTGGTCACATTTCCATTTGGTATCATAAGATCCTGTATAGCCATTGGCCCACATCTCTGGATGTAATTGAAAGTATATAAGGACACAGACTAAAGCCGTGTGAGTGGTTTTCTGTGGGTACTGATTCATTGCACCTTGCTTATATCATTAGGCTAATATTAGACTTTATATTTTACTTGAAAATTCAGCATTACATGTATTAATACTTGACGCTTAAATTCTGCATCTAAAAGAACCCCAAAATCTTCCTGCTGATAGTTGAGAAATACTAAGAATTGCTTAACCACTCTATATTTATCTTTAATTTTTCCCAGGTTGCAAATGCCAAGTGAAACTTTTTAACAAGATTAATATTTATGTATAAATTCCTAGTCATAGACCTATACAGTTGACCATCATTTTCACTAATCCTTCTCTCATATTATTTTAACATACCATTCTAATGAAACTTAAGAATTAAACTGCATACCAGATATCTCATGCTGCAAGTTTTAAAGTAGAAAAAAATGTATTTAGCTTAAGATTGATAACCATAATCTTGCCAGAAAATTCCAAGTTGTAAACTATTTATAAATTATACTTATGAATATTCTCATTCAACTGGAATTTTTCTGCTGTATTTTCATGTTTAATCCTGTTGGAACTTAGGAAGACAAAACAGTGCTCTGTACTTTATGAAATAGTTTAGGTCTTTCTTCATTCATTCATTCAAAAAATATTTATTGCTCATTTCCTTTGTGCAGCACTGTACTACTGCACTATTCAGTGAACAAGTCAAACAAAAACAAAAAAACAAAACCCCTTCCTGCATTGTGTCGTCCTTCTACCAGGGGCATTCGGACAATCAAAGAAGATATAAATAACTGGTCCTTAAGAAACTGATAAATGCTATGGAAGAAAATAAAGTAGAGAAATGTGGTGTTTCCTTTTAAACATGGTTGGGCAAATTTAATTACTGAACTGTTTGTACTGCACTACTTCATACTTAATATTATAGTTTTCATTTAGTCTCTCTTTCAAACATTCATAACTTAAAAAAATCATCCTTGAGACATCTGGTTTATATATTTTGCAATTTTTACTGAAGAAATTTTGAGGAAAACTCTCCTGCTTGTAAAAAGAAAAGTAACTTTTCTTCTCCCACCCGAACCCCACTCTGTCCCAGTTTACTGGGCAGTCTTTCTCTGTGGCTCCGTACTCCTAATATGCTTAATTCTCTGTTGTTTTCTTAAATCTTACACTTTGTTGGGTTGTAGTTCCCTTTGAGAATCTGATAAAAGTTCGTATGCTCTCACCAGAAAATTGGTCACAGGACATACCACACTAAAAGGTTACCTGTTTACCATCGCAGGTGTCATGAAGTAGTCCTGGTATGACTAGGCCCTCATAGTTCACTAAGGGAATGTGTACTCTAGCCCATTGGTGCAAATATGAGTTTTAATCCGTAAATAACTAAATCAGTAAGTAAACACATTTCATTGTTTGCAAAAATATATCTCTGGGATTTCAGGCATTATCTGGGGTGGGGGGTTTCACTAGTCAAATATGTTTAAACCAAAAACAAAACAAAACCCATTGCCATTGAGTCACTTCTGACTCATAATAACCCTATAGGGCAGAGTAGAACTGTCTCAAAGGATTTCCAAGGCTATAAATCTTTATGGAAGCAGACTGCTACATCTTTCTCCTACGGAGCAGCTGGTGAGTTCAAACCACTGACCTTTCAGTTGGCAGATGAGCACTCAAACTACTGTGCCACCAAACCAAAAAAAAAAAAGTCATTGAGTCATTTCCGAATCATAACAATCCTATAGGACAGAGTAGAACTGCCCCATAGGGTTTCTAAGGAGCAGCTGGTGGATTTGAACGGCCGACCTTTTGGTTAGCAGCCATAGCTCTTCACCACTGTGCCACCAGGACTCCTCAGATATGTTTAGGAGGAGAAAAAAGAAGTGGAAAAAGGAACAGATTTCTCTGCCATAATACTTCTCAGTGTCTTTAATATGTTGATACGTATTGTGAGTTCCAAAGAGGGGGCTGTAGAACGGAGCATTTCCCCACCTTACATGGCCATGGAGACCGCCTTTCTGCCTCAGTGCTGTAATCTATGGCTGTAGGAAGTGTGGGTGCAGGAGCATGCAACACACTCAAGCAGAAGTGAGTTGGGAGGGGCAAATTTGAATGAGTCAATTTGAATAACCTGAAAGACAGCTTTGAAGTGGTATGTTAAGTACATATTAAAATGAACTTCTGTATGGTGTACGTTTTACTTGACTTGGTAGCTGTAAAATCAACATATTAATTCTGACATGCCACTTGTCTCGAAAGAAAGTGAGAATTCAAATCACAGAAATAAGCTCTTATGTAGGAAGCATCAACTTTTATGCAAAATGTATTTTTTTAAACTAAGGTTGTACCAAATCTTGCTTTCTTTGGAGACTTTTTGTTTTTTCTTTTAGAGTGCCAGAGCAGAACTTGAAAGGCTGAGGCTCAGTGCAAAGCATGATAAAGAGTCTGTGGACTCCAGCTTAAAGGAGAGAGCCACCATTGTGGCCCACTGCCTGGAGCACAAGGAAGATAAAGTTCGAAACCGAACCAGAAAGCACCGTAGTTTCAACTGCCTGGAGGACACAGGGGCTGAGGTCCCTCATGGGCAACAAAAATTCTATAAAGGTGTAAAGACATTGAGAAAGACTGAGGACAGAAATAGTAAAGCTACTTTGGATTCAGATAATAAATTACCATCAAAAGTAATTGAAGAACTTAATGTGGTCCTACAACGAACAAGAACACTTCCAAAAGAGTTTGAAGATGAGCAGATTTTGCAGAAAGAAATAAAATGAATTTTCCCACAACTTATGTTTTTTAAATATTGTATAAAGTGTCCATGTGCAAACCACAAACCAAACTATAAAATGATCCTTGGTTTGTGAGATGTCTCTAAAACATTTAAAGAGCATTTTAAATATTATGTATATATGTGATAAGTGTAAGATTAACTGTATTTTGGTCTGAACAAAACTTGTAAAGTTCAACTGTTTAACCTTGTGTAAGAAGACATTTGGTTACTTTGAGTAACCAACACTTTTAAAATAGTTCACTAAGTGGTATAATTTATGAGGAGAAATCTCAAGTTGTACTGTATTGTATAAAATATTGTGTATAAATGAGGCCATACAAAACTATATGTAACACATTTTGCACTTTGAGAAACCTTGTAAATTAAGTTACCATATGGTTTTAGGTTTACATAGGGTCTATCTTAGAGAAAAGAAAGGGAAGTAAGTTGAAAAACGGGAGGATTTATTTTAGTGGCTGCCTAACAACACTTGGGTTTTCAAAAGAGGCAAGGAGTTAATAAATGTCCTAAAAACCAAGGGGGTGAGTTAAGATTGATTCTAGTTCACTATTGACCAAAACTTATTAATAGGAAGCTGCCTATTAAGAAAAAGTCCAGTGCTTATTTCCCAAGAGTAGTTTTCAGCCAACAGACATGAATAATGGCACTGGCCATTGTTGTTTATGGCGTTAGTGAACAAGCTACAGTATACATTCACTACACTTCGGTTCTTTGGAGGTGGCTGCTAAGAAGAAACTTACACTGCATTGGAGACGTTGTATGGAAAGGACCTGGCACTGATGCCCTTTGCACTGTTGCTATACACAAGCATTTTAGAGTCCCTAACTATATTACTTCTCGTATGAACTAAATTCATCATCACAGGGTTTTGTTGTTGTTGATTTTTTTGTTGTTGTTATTGTTTTATTTTGTATGTTTATTTGCTGTTATTTTAAGTAAGAATGTCTTTCTCTGGAATGTCAGAATTAACGGAAATAGCACAACATGTGGCCATTTCGTTTGGGGGGATGCTTTACTCATTTTGGGGCTTCTAGTTCACATTTAGAGTCCCTGGATGGTGCAAATGGTTAATATGCTTGGCTGCTAGATGAAAGGTTGGAGGTTCGAGTTCACCTGGAGGAAAAAGACCTCGTGATCTACTTAAAAAAATCAGCCACTGGAAACCTTAAGGAGCACAGTTCTAGTCTGACACCAATGGGCTTTTCATGAGTCAGCATTCACTTGGACAGCAACTGGTGGTGGTGGTAGTTGATTAATTTAGAGCTTAAAAGAAAAAGTAGTAGTCTCCTGACTCTACCTAATGAATAATGACTTTTGTTGTTAGTTGCTGTGGAGTCTCTTTTGATTCATGGTGACTAAACCCTAGTAGTTGAGCACGTAACCATTTGTGCCACACAGGGATTCTGAACAATAACAGAGCCCCCTATTTTTCACATACAAATCAGCCACCAAATTAGTGATTTTCCTAAGAGAGTACTAATACTAGTTCATGTCAGGGGCAGCACCTTTTATTATTTTCTTTCAAATTTTATTAGGTTTGGTGAGTTTGGGTATTAAAAGTATACTTTAGAAAGCTAAGGTTTATTCCTTGCATTTCTTTTTTCTCTCAGTTATCAGAATTCATCTGTATACAAAGACCTATTGGCTACTAAAGTCAGCCCAGTGGTAGTATAGTGATATGCTATGAAGTTCTCCATTATAAAATAACAATCTTCTTATATTTGGTGGTGATAAAAGATAGCGTACCATGGGGTATGATATTTATTCTTTAAATCCAAATAAAAGGAGGAAAAACTGGTCAGTTTATGAAATAGGTGGCACTATTGGTACTACTGGGGAACCTTCATTTAAAGCAGGAAATCATGGTATTTAGGGAGAAAAACTAAACTATTATTTCTAATAATATTTATATTTTTATTAAGAAAGGGAGTGTATGAGAATTGATTGACTATTGGCCTGTTTGTGGGAAAGTACCTGAAGTTTTTAACCTGCCTCATCTGAATTTTTCTGATACCTAAACTTAAAATCTAACAGCTTGTGCTTCCCTTCCTTTCCTGTATAATTGTCTCCTTTTCTCAAGTGTAAGATATGGGTTAATGATGACATATATTTTGAGTAAAAATTAAAATTGTTTTACAAGTCCACTTGAACATGACTGTTGTCTTTCTCAATGATTTTCAAAAGATGAAGGTTGTTTTGAAGTAATTCAAATAGATTTTTTAAGTTTAAATTTAATATATACTTCAAACTAGATCTTTTTTAAAAAAAAACAGCATGATATCGTTCTATTTAAAATGATGACTATACGCAGACATGACACAGAACAGATTGATGTCACTCTGACTTTCATTTCCATAACCCAAAGTTAATTACTAGACATGGTTTTTAAATATTTGATTTCTAAACAAATCATTACCTCATGATTCACTGAAGTAGCGCTGAGAATTCAAAATGAAGCAAAAAGTAATTGAATTAATAATGTGTGCATAACTATATTAGCAGCTGATTTGCATTGTTCAAAAAAAACAGTTTTTAATTTTAAAATATACAAACTGTATATTGCAAAAGGAAATATTTTTGAAAACTCATCAAATTTATTTGGACAGATTGTACCATCCAATTGTTTGCATGTTTGTTTTCTCAAACTTGACAATCACTCTGGGAAGAAAATGATTAAAATTTTCACCATCTCATCAAAATTTGCACTAAGACTTTCATATTATTCACTCAAACTTCACTCAGCATAAGACAGAATTAGGTTTATAATGTGAGCATTTTTCTGTTGTGTGTGCAATCATTTATCTCTAATCATGTGAAAACGCAGAACAGAGATCAAGTGTTTCTGTTATAGCAGCACTAAATAACTAAGACAATGTCTCTCCTCCCAACAGCTTCTAATGGTTTCTTATTTCAGTTAGGTTACAATACAAAGTCTTTGTCATAAGTTGCAAGCCCTGAAATGATTAGTTCCATTGTACTGCCTGCTACTTCTGTCATTTCTCGGCGTTCTTCATCTCACTTTGCTACACAGATACTCTTCCTCAAAATCACCAGACACACACACAAAACCCTTAGGGCTTTGCACTTGTTTTCTCTGACAACAACGCTGTCCCCACATAAACGTGTGGCTCACTATGTTGATTTAGCCTAGGTCTCAAATGTTATATGGTATCATTCTCTATCCTCTTTATCTCCTTTCTTCCTAAGACTTATTACCTGAGAATTTACATATTAGCATATATCTTAATGATCTAATTCCTTCTACTAGAATGTTACTCTGAAAGTGCAGAGTTTTAGTCTTAAACCATTGTATTCCCAGCTTCTAGAACAGTGTCTGCACCGTATCTGACAATCACTACTCACATATACATTGAGTAAAGGAAATCGGTATAATGAAGTAGCTTGAGGAAGACTAATGATTTCATCAAGAACTGGAAACAATGGATTTTTTAAAAATCTGTAAAAGTCTTTTGATGAAATATCTAGGACTAGAGGTGCCAAGACTGAGGAAGTAGTAACATTAGAGAAGTGAGCTAACATTGTTCAGCTGCTCTTTTCCCATCTTTAGTGAATCTGTACAAAGGGAGATAGCTGAAAATCTAGGCTTTGCCCGGGTCGAAAGATGGTGTTTGTAGCCTGAAAAACTACCAGAGCTTTTGTAGCCTTGGGGAGAGCTAAAGCGACAAGGTTGGAGACTCAAAGAGCTCAGAGAGAATGGAGGAATAAGAAATTAATTATAACTGCTTTTACTTTTAAGATATTTGATAAATTTTGATGTCTTGTGGGGGAAGTAGGCTATTAAGCTCATCAGAAAGTCTCTGATAGGACAGTGGAGTTTTTTGTAGTCTTGTTATGCTAAGGAGACAAGGATTCAAGTTGATTTAATATCATGGAAAGTGGCCCTTTCTGAACATACAGCCTTTCAGTTGGAAGCCTTGGAGAGTTATATGACGGGAGTAGGTATGAGCTGGAATTCTGACAAAAAGTTACCAAACTGCCCCACATCCTCAATTCAATTCAGTCCTTGATTCGATTAAGGCCATCAGGCCTCTTATCTCCCTAAAGCTGAAAAAGTGAATCCTTTCTGGACAAAATATCTAGAGCATCAACCTTTTTTTTTTTTTTTTTCACAGCATCTTGGCATTAATAAAAACAAGAGCAAAACAAAATTAAGCATTCCAAAAGATAGGATCCTGTGACCAAAAACAAAAAGGAAAAAATAGACAATAGAAACAGATCCAAAAGTGATCAAGGCATTGGAGCTAGCAAACAAGGACTCAGTGACAGCTATGATTAATATTATCAGGAAAATAAAGGAAAAAGAAACATCCAGGAAAACCTGGATAACTAAATTAATTGAAATCTAAAAACAAAAATCAAATGGAAATTCTAGAAGTGAAAAATACAATGACTGAAATTTAAGATAAATGGTTTAATAGCATCGTAGACATAGCACCAGAGAGGATTAGTGAATTAGGTGAATTGAAAGAAAAAAAAAATGTGTGTTACAAACTATTAACTACGGGCAGGATGATGAGAAATGAAAAGGAGCAGATGACAAAAAGAAATGCTGACCCAAGGAAGAGCTGGCCTGTCTGAAACACTGAGACTCGAGATGGATCCTTCCCTTTAACCGCTTGTTCTCAGTGTCAGATGTTTGATGCCTTCCTAACTGCCCCGAAGCAAGATGCTGTTCTAAAGTGTGTGATTGTCTTTCTTAATCCATGGAATGGGGGTGTAGCTGAATTATCTCTGTAATTTCACTTAGCCTTTTTTCAGGTTAGTACATATTCTTCTGTTGAGGCCAAAACCCAGCTCTCATATGGCATCGTATTTATAATTCAGTCTTGATATTTTTTTCCAGAATGCAAATCTCAGGTAATAAGTCTTTAGAACTTTTAATAAAGTGGATTTGTTCTCAGGCCCTACCTCATGATACTTCAGAACACAATCAAAGTAGCGGCAAATATATATATACACAAACTGAACACATGGGAAAAAAGTGAAGATAAAGAAAAATGAGGGATATGGGATACAGAGAACAGGTCTAATATATATGTGTATTAATTTCTTAGTGCTGTTGTAACAGAAATATCACAAGTGTATGACTTTAATGAACAGAAATTTGTTTTCTCTCAGTTTAGGAGACTAGACGTCCAAAATCAGGTCACCAGCTCTATGGAAAGGCTCTCTCTCCCTCTGTTGGCTCTGGGGGAAGATCTTTGCCTCTTCCTACTTCTGGTCTTCAGTTCCTTGGTGATTTTCATGTGGCATACATGTTTCCCATTTTTCCTGCTCGCTTGCTTCTGTGCCTAATGTGCTGTTTTTGTATAAAAGTTATTGGCTTAAAACACACCCTACATTGATATGGCCTCATTAACATAACAATTCCATGTTCCTAAATGGGATTACTTCTACATGTGTAAAAAAGAACACCAAACCCGTTGCCATCAAGTCAATTCCAACTCATAGCAACCCTGTAGGACAGAGTAGAACTGCCCCATAGAGTTTCCAAGGAGTGGCTAGTGGATTCGAACTG